AGTGAAGTATTACTAGCCATAAAGGATAAACTGGAGACTTTTATAGGCAAATGGATGCAACTTGAGACCATATTCATATGTGAAAGAAACTAGACGCAAATGTGTAAACATCGTATTATCTCTCTAGTGAGAAGCTGAAAGAGTAAATGTGATCCAAAATGTACAGTATGTATTGTAAAATGGAAAGTAACTTCAAAAGGCAAAAGAAACTAATTTAGGGGAATGGAAAAAAAGAAGGGAAAAGTAAAAAGAAAAAAATATATATATATACACATACACACACACACAAAAGATAGTTAAAATAGTTATATACTAATTTCTCTCAGTTCATTGAAAAGATAGGTTTGTGCTATTATTGTTTAGACAATTAAATGCTTATATCTAGTACTCTGAGTAACTAATTTAAAGATAACAATACACAATGTATTAACCATTGTTATCCTCCTATCAAATTGTTCTGGAATTCTGTTTTTTGTTTCCTTTTCTTTCTTTCTTTTTTTTTTTGGGCCGGCAATCAAACTCAGAACCTTGCACTTGCCAGGTAGGCATATGTGCTGCTGAGCTATCTCCCCAACTGTTTCTTCTTCTTTAAAGTAAAAATTAAAAAAAAATATATACTGAAGTGTCTTTATACAGGGCTGGGGATTTAGCTCAGCGGCACAGTGCCTGCCTGGCAAGCGCAAGGTTGTGAGTTCGATTGTGAGTTCGATTCCCAGTACCAGAAAAAAACAAAAAACAAAAAACAAAAACAAAAAAAGTATCTTGAAGTATCTTTATACAGAAATACACATAAAATAACGTTATATGTTAATCAGTTAACAGAAACATGGCTCAAAGCTCAAAGTGATAGAAATCTGTATTTGACCCAGGAGCAATGGTTTGGTATTTCTTATTGCAGTGTTTGTGGTGACATTATAGAACATAATTGCCACAAATAATGAGAATCAACTGTACACATAGAGACCTTTGTTGCTAACTTTTAATGACAGGATTCTCAATCAACTGACTAGAAACCCATTTGTCTGGTGTAAAAGCAGTTTGGCAAATCCACAAAGAGTGTCAGACACATTTTGGAGTAAGTCCAGAAAAGGTTTCTGTGGAGTGTTGCTCTAGAGCTCAAAGAAATATTGCTCCAAGGGCACCCTAATGGAACAGTGCTGTCTGATTAAAAAAAAAAAAAAAAAAAACAGAAAAAACCACAAACTATTTCATTTTGTTCCATACTCATGTGTATTTTTATGGGCATATTGCGTAAGTCTAGACAGATATATAACAAAATGATTTTGAAATTATCTCTGAAAGCTCTTTCTTTCCTGATAAAATGCTAAAAGGCATAGAGAAGAAAGCAATAAAAATAAATTTGTAAGAAAAACATATATACTATCTCAAGTTTCACTGCCATTGAGAGGTTGCTGAACATGTGAAAAATGGCAAATTTGAATCTCATTGTCCTTTAATTGTGAACTGGACTTTAAAGAGATATTATTTAAACGATTACAAAAACATTTCAAGGACTTTTTTCACTACTAATTTTTTACAGTGATTACATATTGAAATAATACCATTTTGGATATATTAGTTTAAATAAAATACATTCTTAAATTCCCATTTTCTTTCTTT